ATGACGTTTTCTTTTTTTTTTTTTTTTCCAATGTTTATTTATTTATTTGGGACAGAGAGAGACAGAGCATGAATGGGGGAGGGGCAGAGAGAGAGGGAGACACAGAATCGGAAACAGGCTCCAGGCTCTGAGCCATCAGCCCAGAGCCCGACGCGGGGCTCGAACTCACGGACCGCGAGATCGTGACCTGGCTGAAGTCGGACGCTTAACCCACTGCGCCACCCAGGCGCCCCCCCTATGATGTTTTCTTAACCTCCTCACACAGGGCCAGGGTGAGGAGCTTTCACACCGAACGCCAGGGACGGCGAGCCCCTCTCCCTGGGCAGCAGCTGGGGCCTTCTGGATCCCACACCCACGTTTCCAAGACGATCACACCGTGTGCGGTGCTACAGGAAGGGCACACACGGCGGCCACAGTCACACTGAGGCTAAGGATTTCCGACTGCCTGAGTCTGGTGTTGATACTAAAAACAAGGAGGAATGATTTTCTGGGTTAAAACTAAACAACCTGTTTTTTCCTCTTTTCTTCCAAATTCTGCTCAGAGAATTTCAAACCAGCAGGCTGATTGTAATCTTAAACTTCCGGACTAGAAAGAAAAGGCCAGTGTGTGAGTCCACCTTTGTTCCAGTACTGCCAGGACCAGGAGAGCTCCTGTCGCCCAGCCCCTCCACACAGCCCTACCCTCCATCCAGCCCCTCCGTCCAGCCCTCCCTGCCCAGGCCCACCATCCGGTCTCTCCGTCCAGCCCTCCCCTCCACCCAGCCCTCCCCACCATCCAGCCCCTCCACCCAGCCCCTCTGTCCAGCCCTCCCTGCCGCAGTGCACAAGTGTCATCAGTCACTTGGTCTCAAGACATAAGCAAGATGACCCAAGAGCTGCTTTAATTAGTTTGTTCTCAAAAGCGTGCCGCCCACCCAACTTGGGCGAAGGACCGGTGAGGCTCCCCCGACCCCTGCTTCCTCTGCAAGGTCCCAGCCTCCCTCTCCCCCTGGTGGGTCAGCCTCCGGCCCAAGGACAGCTGGCACCAGGGGCCTGGGAGGTGGCCTCCCTCCTTCCCCCAGGACTGCACCTCTCCAGAAGCTCAGGACAGTGCCCCCAGTGTCCCCAGGCAGAGAGGGACAGGCAGGAGAGAGAGAGCCTTCTCCATCGCAGAGTTTCCCACAGCTAGTGTAGCCCCAAGGGCACAGAGAAACCCAGATGTCAGGCCTGTTCACTGTAACAACCTCCAGGCTGGCGTCCCCACTGAGCACCAAACCGTGTCGGGGCCCTTTGGCTGTCCTATCTGCCCCTGAAAAAGCCCCTATAAGCAGCTCGAACCCGGACAGACAATGGCACCCGTGTCTGGTTCTGTCCCTCTTTGGAGTCCAGGTGTCCCCCACACAGCACCCAAGGGACCCGGGGGCTGGGTGATGGGGACGTGGCCAAGCACAGCATAAGACCCAAGCCAACCAGCTTCGCCGGCTTTTCCCTTGGCTTGGCCTCCTCCCTGCGCACTCGCTCCTGCATCAGGCAGCCCCTGCCCTCACAGAGTTCCCCGGGGGAGCCGGCCTGTGTACACGGGTTCCAGGCATCAGACGTGCCACCACCCTGGCTCAGTGGCGCTCACGCTCTGTGACGTCACCGGGTGGGGTGGCACGAGGGAGGCGCCCGGGCCACCACACACTCTCACTGAACAGACAGCTGCACCAGGACGGGAAATCAGACTCTGCGTCCCCGCTGCTTCTCACTGGAGCTGGAACACTAGAGAAGCGCATTTGGAGAGGAGCGTCACCACTGGCTTTGTCACTGGCCCTCGCAACAATCGCGTTATCGGTTACAAATCGTCATACTCAAAAAGTGGTGTTATCATTCATGAAAAAAAGAAGACGGTTCTAGGAGAGAGAAGGTGAGGGGGGGGTCGTCACCTCTCACCTCCTCCCCTGCCCGACCCCAAAGTTGACGTGTCCTCGTTTCCTGGTAACCCTGGAGTGTCAGACATCCTACTGTGGACTCAAAGTTCTGGAAGTTTCACTCGAGGAAGCCAGGAGGCCAGGAGGGTTATGTCCCATCTCAAAGAGGAAAATACCATAGGCAAGCTATGCCCACCCGGAGCCCACTGAGACTCTACGGGCAACTGGGTGCCCCCTCCCCAGCCTCTATCAGCGGCCACCCCGAGCCGACTGCACTCCCAGACTCTGCCTTCCTGTGCGGGCGCCCAGCCCAAAGCCGCTTCTGCAGGTGTTCTGGTGAAGACCGACCCCCATCTTCTGCCCTCTGTCAAGGACGGGGGCCTCTGAGCATCACGGGGGCTGCTTCAGAGGTGGCTCCGGGCCCAGTGTCACCTGTGCCCGCGTGTCTGCAGCCCAGAGTCCCCACCTGCCAGGAAACAGCTTCACCGATGTTCTCACAAGCAAATACGAGAGGAGAAATGCACTGAACGCTTGTAACAACTTCTGCATCAACTGATGCAGGCCACGTGCCTGGGTGTCTGTCGGTAACATTCCAGGCCACCTGTGTGTCACACAGACACTGCAGGGGCCTCTGGCTCAACTGCAGGGATCCCCCCACGTCACAGAAGTCAGAGACCTCTCCTTCTGCCGTGGCCGTGTCCTCATTCCGCTCGCCAAGATGCCACTTTCCCAGAGAAAAGTCGAGGTTTTAGCTAAAGACCGCACCACGGAGCCGGACGCTCAGAAAGAGAGAGAATCACCAGCAAGCTGCAGCAGTAAGGATGGGAGGGGGGAGAAGCAGGTGCAGGGGAGGGACTCTGCTGGAGGCCGAGGTGGGTTTCTGGCTACATTCAGTCCTTCCGCCTGTTAGATGTTCTCGCCCATTCTGCGGCTCCATCGCTTCTGCCCCTGAATTATGGCCTCCTTCTAACCGTTCCTGCAAGTTTTTCCTTAAGAAAGCCTTGCCTCTACCGTGCTCTAAAAAAGACTCACCCTGGAAATTGGGGACATGCAACTCGGAGCCCCGAGCCCGAAGCCTCCGGGGCACAAGCCCACCCCGTGGGCTGTGGGCCCCTGCTTTCCAGCAGCTCTGTGCACAAACCACTTCTTCGCATAATTGTGTGAGGCAGCGAGGCGACACTCCCATTTCACAGAAGGCAAAACTGATGCAGACACAGGCACGCAGAGGCACCACAACCCGGGAGTGGCAGCCAGGCCCAGACTGTGGTGTCAGGGCCCGGGAGGGCACAGCCAGCCCACGGGGTGGGACGAGGCGGGCAGGTCCGGAAACTCTATGGGAGTCCTGAGATAGAGCCGACTCACCCCAGAGAGCACCGTCCTCCCCACCCACCCAGGTCCACGGCAGGAGTGTCCCCTGTCCCCACCTCACAGGGTGTTTTTCCCACCTGCTACAGCTGACCCGAGGAGGCTGGGGCAGAACGCAGCTCTCAGAACCAGCTTTGGGCCAGTCACCCCATGGATTTGCAGGGCACAAGGCCCTCCAATGTACAGGCTCCTTCCTAGGCCCCCCCCCAACCCACCCCCGCCCGCCTACCTGCCAGGTGGGGTCCTCCGCCTGCCCAGGACTCCAGGACTCGGGCACCAGTGGCCCCTGGGGATGCACTTCTATTTTGGTGGCGCCCCTGCAGCTCCCCTGGACACACATCCTGGGGCGTCTCACAGCATCCCCTGCACATCCTCCTGGGCCTGCTCCCGGTGCCTTGACCCCTTCCTGGTCCAGGGGCTGCCCCTGGATGGGATGTTTCCAGCAAGGATAGGAGCTGTGCTTGCTGGGGACAGAAGTCTGCTCCTCCCCCAGCTCACTCTTATTCAAGTGTGGTGCTGCCCAGAGAAGCCAGACTTCCTTTAAAAAGTGGTAGAACGGCCTTTGAAGTCGGAGGACAAAAGCCTTGTTATTTTGAGTCTGAGAGTCTTCTCTTGAGTCGCGCTTTTGAAAAGCTCAGCGACTAGAGGGGGGCCGCTGGGCCACCGCCTTTCCCGTTGCCGGCTTCAGGCGACCAGGTTCCGAAAGATGCACGTGGGTGGACCCCTCCTGTGCCCCCATGCCCACCTGCCCCTCACCTGTCCCCACACCTGTCCTGACACCCGACCAATCAGCGGACGCGTTTCGGAAGAGCCCAGGATGTGGCTCTTCAAGGTGAGGGGGGGGGCATGGGTGACACCTGTCGCGTCCGACAGGACCCCGTCACGATGGGGAGGGGCGTCTGTGTCCTTGGAGCCCGCTGCCCTCCAACCTGTGACAGCTGGGACTCCGGTCGGGTCCCCCACGTGGGACGGCCCCTCCGCGTCCCCCCCCCCCCCCCCGCCCCTTCCGCCGTCCCTGCCCCCGCGCACCTGCCGGGCCTGGACCGTCCTCACGCGTCCTCGGACTCCGCCACAGGTGCGGCTCTAGGCCCGACCGCGGGGGGAAGGGTGGCGGAGGGGGAGGGGTGCTGGGGAGGAGGGCGCACAAGGGGGGCGGAGAAAGGTGGGGGCGGGGCCGTGGTGGAGGGCGGAGGGGGAGGGTGAAGGCCGCGGGAAGAGCGGAGGGAGAGGAGGGGCTCCAGGCTGGGGGCGGGAGAGGAGAGAGAGGGGTAAAGGTCTGGGGCAGGGGCGGCCGCGGAGGCGGAGGGGGGCGGCAGGAGGGGAAGGAGATGCCCCAGCCCGCCCTTCCCTCCCTCGCGTGTCAGGGGGCCGGGGTCGTGCCCCTCCGCCCAGGGTCGCCCCGGACCGGGTTCACATCGCACACCCAAAGGGGACACGGGCCGGGCTTGGAGTTCTGCCCTGGGGCTGACCCCGGCCTGACCCCAGTTCCCCGGGGTCTCACCCTGCCTCGGGGGACCTGCGCAGAGCCACCCGGAAGGAGCTGTGCGTCTGCTCGGAAGCCCTGGACCGGGCTCGGATCCCCCAGCTCCCCACGACCTTGTCAGGAGAAGGGGGCGGGTGGCCGGCCGGGTGCTGGGTCGCCACAAAGCCTGCTGTGGTGCACCAGGCCAGCTGTGTGTTGGGGGGAGGCTCCTGGGGGAAGGGGTGCCTGGGGCAGGACGGGGGTCAGAACCAGACCGCACTGTTGGAAACACCGCAGCTGCCTGTTCTCACGACCCAGGTCACCTGTGGGCAGGGGCTCCCTGCACCCCTCCGTATTTATGTCCCGGGAGGGCAGCCCAGAGAGCCAAGGTGGCAGGGCCCCCGTGTCCCTCAGGCTGGCTTGAGTACCCAGCCTTGCAACCCCTGTTTCCAGGGAGAGGAACTAAACCTTTTATTCTTGTGATTTCCCAGGTTCAGGGAGGGGAGCCTCTGGAGTAGAGCTGGAATGTGAACGTGGTGCAGCATCCAGAACATCCTAAGTGTTGACCCGCACGGAAGCTTCATCTTGGTTGAGCCTTTAAAGCGCCTGCATGGAGTGGGTAAAGGTGGGTGGCTTGTTGAAATCAAACAACGGGCTTCTGCCAATAGGAAAATAAATGTAAACCCAAGGCAGCTCTAAGCCCAGGACACCTAAGCCCCACGAAGGGGACGGTGACCCTGACCTGGAGGAGGGTGCCTGGCGCTGACCCTGCAGGAGGACTTTCCTCCCCCGGGTGTGGCTCTGTACGTCACCTGTGGGAGATCTGTATGCACCCAGTGGGCACCCTGGTGGCCAGGGCACGGGCTGGGGCAGCTCTGCGGAGGGTCCAGGCTCTGGCGGCCTGGAACGCGGGACCCGCGGGTGCCACGCTCTCCTGGGAGGTCCTGGGGCAGGCGGTGGGCACAGCGCGGGATGGGTCCCTGAGTGCGTGGACAGAGAAGGCAGGCTTCGCCAGGAAGGGGGCAGGCTGGCTCAGGAAGGAGCAGGTGGCTTGAGGGGGACAGGAAATCAGAGGAAGGAGAAACCCCTCTGCCTGACAGAGGGTTGGTGGCCGGCAGCGGCCCCAAGACCCAGACAGGTTCCTCTTCTTGGAGGGGCCCCAGTGAGGCCGGGGGGCTCCAGTGTGGTGCGCTTTGCCTGTGTCTTTGAGACCAGTGCCCTGGTCCCCAGGACAGCATCAAAGGCCCTCGGGTAAGAGATGCTCTCAGGAGGCTGCAGGAAATACCACGGCCAAAGCGAGGTGGCGCAGGAGGGCGGCTCTGCAGGATGTGCAAACAGCGCCGCTGGTGGAGAAGACCAGGGTAGATGGCTGGGACCCGTGCTCTGACCCCGGTGAGAATGTGCGGCCTGCAGGCTCCAATCCCAGGGGCCAGCCAGGCCTGGGTTCCGAACCCGAGTGCGGCTGCCACAGGCAGGATTCCCGCCCAGGATCCGGGACCCGCAGCTCAGTCACCCACACCTGCGCGGCCACGGAACCTGCAGCCCAGAACATTGTTCCTTCTCCACGAAAGCTTTCTGCTTTGGTGCAGGGTCACCGACACGGTGGATGTACAGAGGACAGAATGAGACGTCTGTGCTGCTTGGAAAACGTGAGGGCTGATTCCAAAGCTGAGGTAATTCGAGAGGAAATGAATTCCCCCAAGTGCAAAGCTGGCCCGAGCAGCACCCTGCTGGCATCCTGCTCATTATGGCGCCACGAGCCCTTTGTGCGACTTTGTGGCTCTCACAGCCCCCCAGGCCCATGGTGAGGCCCGTGGTGAGACACGAGGAAGTTACCACCACAAATGGGGCTCTAGGGGTGCACAGCTGAGCAGAAATACGAGGGAGAATTCGCAGGTAGCATCATCTGCTTACCGTGAAGGAATCAGTATGAGAGGGGAGACTGCAGGGGAGAGGCTGGGCTTCTCCCTGCCAGCCGGCCCTCGGTCCCCAGCGCACGAGCACATTCCCTCAGCACACAACCCCAGCACACACTCCCGGTGCACGAGACACGCTCCCAGCACACGAGCACAGGCCTCCAACATGGGAGCACACACCCCCAGCACACAACCCCAGCACACACTCTGAGCGCACAAGCACAGGCCCCCAGCACACGAGCATAGGCCTCCAGCATGTGAGCACATGCTCCCAGCACACAACCCCAGTGCACACTCCCAGCACACGCCCCAGGCCTCAGCTCCAGTGGGTTCTGAGGTTGGTTCCGACAGGTGTGAGTTGAAGTCTGCCTGCAGGTTCCAAATCAGTTGTTGAGATTTCTGCCCGCACCCGTGAGGCTGTGACAGTGGCATATGTGCCCTCCCCTTGGAGTCCTACAGAGCTGTCCCCGTCGGTCACTGTGCCCGGTGGCCAGCCTAGGGAGGCCCCTCTGCCTTCCAGATGGTCCCCGTTTCTCCTTGTGTTTGAAACTACCATTTAAGATTAAATCCTTTACGTAAATGTACTGCTCTTGCAAAAAAGTCTCTGCGCCCCTGCCTGATCATCCTTTCTGCTGTCCTGCCCAGGTAGTACTTACCATCGTGGGATGGCCCACAAACGCTGACAGCGGTAGCAGGGTCTCAGTGTGACATGCGGGACGTCACCCGTCAGTATTTTAGCCTCTGTTTGCCCTCCCAGGACATAGACACTTCTTACTCCACTGGCTTATAAAGATTGAGGAAGTGTAATCATTTACAAACAAAACAAAGTCTAAGCTAATTAAAACATTTATTTTGAGGGGCACCTGGGTGGCTCAGTCAGTTTAGTGTCTGACTTTTTATCTCAGTTCAGGTCATGATCTCACAGTTCATGAGATCAAGCCCCACGTTGGGCTTTGTGCTGACAGCTTGGAGCCTGCTTGGGATTCTCTCTCTCCTTCTCTCTCTGCCCCTCCCCCCTTGTGCTCCCTCTCTCTCACTCAAAATAAATATTTTTTAAAAACATTTATTTTGATAGTTAAGTCATATTTTGAGACTTTCTAGTAGGTCTTCAAAAATTCTAAAGACACTGGGGTGCCTGGGTGGCTCAGTCAGTTAAGCGTTCGACTTTGGCTCAGGTCATGATCTCACGGTCTGTGGGTTTGAGCCCCACGTCAGGCTGTGTGCCGACAGCTCGGAGCCTGGAGGCTGCTTGGGATTCTGTCTCCTCCTCTCTCTGCCCCTCCCCTGCTCATGCTCTGTCTCTCTCTGTTTCTCAATAATAAACATTAAAAAATTAAAAGATAAAATTCTAAAGATACTAAAACTATCTGAGATTCTCAAGAGGATCTGTTCATCCTTCATGATCTCAAAACCCTTTCTCTCTCTTTGAATCTTGTAAAAACCAAGTGAATAAGAACATTGATGTGGATTTTTTTCATATTATGATTTTGTGCAAGGAGTTTTAAAGGCTAATATACTCTTCATAAGCAAGGCACCAAGGAATCCGTATTTCTTATTAAAGTTTAAACAAATAAATTAGGGGGCACCTGGGTGGTTCGGTAGGTTAAGCGTCTGAGTCTCGGTTTTGGCTCAGGTCATGATCTCAGTTTGTGAGTTCGAGCCCCACATCAGGCTCTGTGCTGGAAGCATAGAATCTGTTTGAGATTTCTCTCCCACCTCTCTCTGTCCCTCCCTGGATTTCTCTTTCTAAAAAAAAATAAATAAATAAACATTAAAAAACAATAAATTAGGACAGCCCCTGTCAGTGGGCCCCGAGGGTGCCAGGCACAGCAGCACTGTGGTTTCCGGATGTTGTGATTTCTAGTGTCTTGCTGATGGGTCTGCAAAGAAAATGCTGTAAGGAGACACGATAGGTCGCCTCCAGTAATGTGCTGTGGGGCCTTAAGTGTAAATTTCTCTGGACGTTGAGCAGCAAGTATTTACTCCAGATTGGCTGGTTTTAGCCATGACACCTGTCCACTAACTATGGGGTTGGTGTCTTCAGTGTCTGAGAAATTCTTCATCTGGTTAATAGTTGACAGGTTCTCGGATTAGGACAAGTGAATGCATCTCGGTGATAAGTTAGACATTTGCTATTTCAATGTTCCTGAATTATTCCAATGAGTCCTGAAATCATAAAAATGTACAAAATGTACAAAGGTGAGTATTTTCCCTAGGGGAATTAATATATTAAGTTTTAGGGGTGCCTGGGTGGCTCAGTAGGTTAAGCATCAGACTTTGGCTCAGGTCATGATCTTGGGTTCGTGAGTTTGAGCCCTGCGTCGGGCTCTGTGCTGACAGCTCAGGGCCTGGAGCCTGCTTCGGATCCTTTGTCTCCTTCTTTCTCTGCCCCGCCCCCCCTCACGCTCTCTCTCTCGAAAATAAACATTAAAAAAAATGCTAGTGGTATCCCCTTAATGCAGGAAAGAAATTGAGAAAGTATATGTTCTCAAGACTTTCCCATGAAAGAGGGTGTTGTTAAGCTAGGATAGGACCAGGTGATGTGCACGGTTGTGTTCACGTGGGCACAGGTGAGTGGGTTTGCCGTTACACCTTCGAGCTTCAAGCCAGGCAAGTGTACTCATCAGCCGCCAGGGGTAGCGTGGCCCCAGGTTCTGGCCACCTGAGACAGGTGTGAAAACCGGACAACCAACAACAGGCACCGGAGGCCCCGGGCCCCAGAATCACTGGAGGCATTTACTTCCTGTTGTGTTTCCTAGAGTCTGGTGTTGGCCACTAGCGTTTGGTTGGTGATTGTGACCGACACCCGCTCAGCGTGTGATACACTTGCTGTGTGGTGCTTGTGGTGCACAAGGCCGGGAAAAGCCCCAAATTTAGAATTGCACACGGTGGAACCCTAGGCCTGACCTAGTTCCTCCCAGGGGCTTAGGGAGGCCCGTGAGGTGGCAACCCCAGAACCGAGCATCCCCAACCTTAGGGCTCTATCCTTGCCGCCCTAATTGGGACAGAATCCCAGGATCTGGGGCCTGGAGTCAGGTTTTGTGGGTCTGAGGCCAGTCCTCAGACAAGGAACTGGAGGGGGGGCAGTGGCCATTGGGCAGTGTGGGGGCAAACGGCCCCAGAGGAGGAAGGGGCAGCGCTGGGACCCGAGTGGGTGGGGAGCCGGATGCACAAAATCAGCCCGCAGCCCATCCCGGCCTAGCTGGGTGTGAGCGGAGGGCGCAGGGGCCTGAGGGCGCGGGATGAGTGCAGGTGCAGGCAGGATGGTGCGAGGGCAGGACGGTGCGAGGGCAGCCGGCGATCCCGCGATCGGTGAATGCAGGCGCTGCCCCCCATTTCTGGGAGGACACCCCACCTTCAGCCCAGACACACACTCAAGTTGAGAGGTTCACCCTGCAGCTTCTGTCCCCAGACATTTAAGCCCAACTGCTGCTTTTTTTATTAATAAAGAAACCAAACCAGACATTTTTCTTCTTTATTGCAAGCAGATTCAAGTCTCCTGCTTAGATAATCTGCAGAAAAGTCCAATATAATTAATATTATCAAGTCATACTTTATCTACAGAAATAAAAGTTAAAAACAGTAGCATACAAAATAAAGTTTACAGAAATGTAAGATTTGGTTTAATCACAATTTAATTTTTTAAAGCAGGTTAACATTACTATCTGGAGGCTGATCGGCCATCTTAAATGCACCTACTATATTCAATAATTTAAAAATAAATTCCAGTATTTATGACGATGACAACTATAGATACCGTTCATGTTAAATGCATTTTGAAGGTTCTCTTTTACTACGTTACATAATGAATGGACATTTTAAATGGCAATGCAGACACGTCATAATTTTAAGTCAGAGACAATATATGCATATTAAAATTCTGTATATTTTCATAAGGTAAAAAATAAAGCTATATAAACTGATCTTTAGATTTTTTCTGCAAAAGTAGAATCACCCTTTAATAATACTTCCAACACATCTCCATTAAAGCTTTGTTTCTAGACAATATCAGAATGATTCTCATTCCCGCTCACCCACCCGCTAGCTTAAAAAAAAACTGCATTTGCCAACTGACATTTTTCCTGTTTTTAAATGGGAAACTTCCAAAAGAAATGGAGAAGGCAAGACACTGAACAACAAAATGTGACACGCAGCTGTTAAATAAATAATGTGATTTTCAAGGTGAAGTAAAGCTGTTGCATTAGGTTTCACCAGTCAGTGCAAAACAGATGCACTTAGTGGTTTTTAAAAAAAAGGCGGAAAACTCCCTTAGGCTGCACTCAACATTTGGTTGACGTGCAACTATTCGAGACTAATGAGAACAGCATGTGGGAGACATTTTTGTAGTTAAAGCTGCAAAATCTCACCAGGCCAAAGGACAATTCTATCAACCTGTACCTGCAGAAGCATTTCTGGCCTCCTTCCCAGGCTCAGGAACCGCCCCCCCCCCCCCCCCAGGCTTCTGTGCTCTGCGTTCACCCTATGGAGTCAAATGCAAAGGCTGGTCTGGGAGAAGAGGGTGTGTTTCCCCAGCTGCCCAAGGCAGGGTGCCAGCCAGAGCCCAGGGATGCCCGGGTCACAGAGGAGCCTCTCTGCCACCGTCCTGAGGGCACAGCTGCAGGCAGGTGTCAGTGGCGGGTGGGGGGGGGGACCCCCGAACAGGAGACGCTTATCAGGCCAGAGCACCGCAGCGTTGTCCGTCCACGCTTGCCTCCGGCGTCCAGCCAGGGCACAAGGCTCGAGGTCTAAAGAGCCTGGCCTTGCCGGAGCTCCTGGCAGGGTCCCCTTAGGAGGGAGGCAGGATGCACAGGGCCCAGGGAGTGCGTACGTGTGTGCACTGTGTGTGTGCGTGCATGCTGAGACACGTGCACGCCTGTGGCCCTGAGTAGATTCGGAGTTGAAAGCAGGAGAGAGACGGTGACTGGGTCAGGACCACCCATGCTTTATTGGTGACCTGTTCTTAGGGGATGGTGTGCGGGTCCAGAACCAGATGCTGGGACCAGTGTGGGAAATTATGAATTAATTCATTAACATGTGCAGTCCTGGACAAGGTTTTCAAAACTAAGAAAAATGCTAAAAGTTGACATGTCTTGCTTTAAGGTCAGTTTAAGGCCAGTAATTATTAACTACTGTTGGTGAAAGATCGCACGGAGTCCCACGTGCGGCCTTTCAGCGGGTTCTTCCTTACCTCTGAGGCTCTGTCTCCCGCCCCTGTTTCCAATGATCAGGCACAGTCACTTAATATTTCCCAAACAATTTTGTAAAAGACATTTTGGAGCATGTAAGGGGTTAGGGACTTTCATAAGGAGACTTGCATCATCAGAGGTAAACGGTGACCGTCTCAATACAGGTGGAAAGAGGATACTGAACCATCCCTCGAGAAACTTCTATCTTAAGGCCGAAGGATGGAAATCGAAAACAAAACAAAGAGCAGATGACAATCACAATCAACTGTGAAGAAAAAGCAAGCGAAACGTTGTGCTCTAAATATGCCTTCAACTAATCACTGCCACCGGAAACACCAAAAACAAACAGGTGTAGAGAATAAAATCAAATCTGAAAATTCACATTCATCGGGTATTGAGACATTCAGCCAAAACTCTCACCAGAATTTAAATGTAAAGTGGCCAAAAGTTCACCAACTTAAAAAATAAAAGCTTTAAAAACATACTTTAAAAATTAGGTGCGGTATGTTAACAAATAAATGAATAAAAGAGATAGAAACAGCTATGAAAATACTTCAGTGCAAAGGCAATTTTAAGATTTCTAAAAAAATACATTACAAAGAATTTGTTAACTAAACATACAGAGAATCTGTCCCCCTACAGGTGGGGGGGGGGACATTTATACCCATAGTAGGT